AGACTTCATAATAACTCACAAAGCTTTTGCAAATCTTCCTACTTTTTAAAAAGTCATCTAGTTGGTCTGACTCCTGGTGACGCCCATCATCCTAACACAATGGGCTTGCCACCCGTCTTCCTCCTGAGAGTGGCTGGTGGATTCACACGGTCAGAAACTTGCAGTCTTTGGATCAGCAGCACAACTCCCTGTGGACTAAAATACCAAAGCTCCCTCAAAAAAGTTTTTTAAAGAGTGCTTACTTACAGTCTGATGTCAAAAGAAATTTCAACTATTTCTGCAACAGAAGCAAACACCTATCATAATATTTTTTAAGATCATCATCCAGTAGGATGATTACATAGTATTTAAAAATACACAAAAATATACAACTAGTAAAGGATAGAGAGATATATGGTTTGTTCTGATTTTAAATGTTAGTGAACTAATTGTTCAAAAATCGTAATTTAAAATCATAAAGTCAGGAAATCAAAAGAAGAATTGCATTAGGTAAATCTGCTGTCAGGGATCTTTCTAGAGTACTGAAAAGGAATGATGTCAATATAGAGACTAAGGTGCGCCTGATCAAGTCCATGGTCTTTGCAATTACTTGCTATGCATCAGAAAGCTGGACAATGATTAAGAATGATAAAAGGGGAACTGAAGCCTTTGAGCTGTAGTGCTAGAGAAGAGTCTTGAACGAATACCATGGATATCATACCAAGAAAACAAATGGTCTGTCTTGGAGAGGGTGAAACCAAGTTTCTCCTTGGAGGCTAGGATTTTGAAGCTCCATTTACATACTTTGGGCACATGATCTGAAGGGACCTACCCTTGAAGAAGGGCATCATGCTCGGAGATCATGCGTAGGCGAGAAAGGCCTCAGATGAGATGGATTGATAGAGTGACTAGGGCAATGGGGGTAGGTGTGTCAGAGTCAGTGGGACTAACTCAGTACAGGGTGGGCTTCATAGCTATTGTACATAGGTCGCTATGAGTTGCAAGTGACTCAACGGCACATAACAACGAAACCATTATGACTTAGAAAGATGGGCAATCTCTTTCTATACAATCTAAACCCACTGAAGGTCAACTATGAGTAGGTTCTTACTTGACAGCAACTAGTGTTTGAGTTTACTTAGAAAATACTTCTAAAAATTCTAGCAGAGAACATTAATTTGAGATTAGTATTATCAGCTATAGTAGTATTATACCTTATAAATACATTTACATATGCTTTCAAACTGGGTTTTGGTTTTTATTTTTAAGATTAAGGAGTTTATTATAGAATATGAGAGGCAAAGACTCCAGGTAACAGAAAGCTCTGGAAATGTTCTGTCAAGTAGGGGCCTGGCTTTGACCTCCCCAAGAGGATAAGAAGACTGGTAGGTCAGCAAAAAGATTCTGACAGTCACCTTGTCAGGGTTAAGGGTCTCTTCCAGGACGGTCCCCGTCCCCTACCAAAGGTGAAAGGAGACAAAGAGTATTTATTGAAACAGCACAGAAGCATGAAGAGCTAAAAGCAAAGTCTGACACAGAAAGAGAGAGTGGTACAAAGGACCTTACAGAGAGGCTTTTGGCTCTGAGTACCCCAAACACACTGCCAAGAAGTTCTCTAAAATGTCACTGAAAAGGTAAAGTGTCTAATATTTTCAAGAGCCCCCTGGACTTCTCCCCCACATGCCACATTACACCTCAAGATGCACATAGTAGAGACAAAAGGTTACACTTTTGTAAAAAGGAAAATGAGAAAGAGCCCTGATGTTATGTAAGGAGAGAAGGCACTGAAGAGTGCTGGGCCTTTCCTACACGGACCTGTGTTCTGCAAAGCAAACTGACAGCAGCATCATGGCATAGCTCTAGGGGAGCATTTCACCTTTTGTTACCCAGGCTTCAGTGTATTCTATCCTCTGTTCAAGGGCTGTCAATCTCTTGTTTAGCGCTGCAAGTCTTGAGCAATAAGACATAACGAATGAAGTGAGAAAGTCTGTGATTTTCTTGATGTTGATGGTGATGACCTCAATGTACTCCTGGTTTGTCCAGTCCTGGTGACTTCCTGCTGCACCAATCCTCTTGCCCAGCCATCATGGCCCCCTAACCAAAAGCAAATGCCCAAACTGAGAGTTTTAACTGCTTAACCCATTAGCTCACGATGATGATATTTATTCTGGAAACATTATATACTATCATTATGTATATACCCCAGACAAGGGAGTTTCCAAGAGTAAATGCTATTTACTTTAAAGATAAATTATCTGGAACACATATAATTCATCTTATTTTACATTAGAAATAAATATGATACATGTAAATGAATTTTTAATTCACATTAAATAGCTTAAAAAAGAAACAAACAATTTTTTTCAAACCAAT